GCCAAAACTCCGTTTAAAAACGTCAAAAATGCAAAAATTCGTCATTTTTTTTTCTGGCCGGTTGTCGGCGTCCAATATGTATTCATATGGTAAAGTTAACATTTAAGTATGTGGGGACCTCCAGCAGCGCCATATGCCTGGGGCCTAAATATCAAGATGGCGCCTGGAAAGTCCAAAAAACAGTGAAAAAGTCGTTCTTTTTGCCGTATTTTTACTACACTGGCCACACATTCCCCATTTCGATGGCCTGGAGCCATAATATGAGAATTGCGAATATCATTCTGGATGTTACACAACTGAAGGGCCTTAACTGCGGAAGTGGGGATTCGTCTCCTATAAATTAACTATGGAACCAAGAGGCAGAAGTTGGTTTGGCGGCGTAATTTGAGGGCAAATATATTAAAACATGCTTCCCAAGTTTTCTTTAATTTTTTTTTAATTAAAACGTAACACTTGGCAGTCGAAACTGTTTAGAATATTGAGCACTAATACTATGAAGAAGGTATTATGCAAGAATAAGAACGTTACAGAGTTAAACGTTGTCTCTTGAAGCACTGACGTTTTCTCTCTGGATTGTTTTTGGCATATTACACATAGACTAGGTACTGTTAAAATCACCACCAGAGGATGATTCATGCTGCATGGCCTAGGGAAAACTGAAACAGTCAAATGGAAGTCATCACCGCGAAAGAAGACATGAGCACCATTCTACGATCAATAGAGATGTGGCCTAACGTTTGAATAGAGCATCTTCATGCGTTAGAATGTAATGTGATATCATGTTAAATTAGTATGAACGAGCTTAATGTTAATGTAAATGTTAGAATGAGTCGTTAAATCCCAGGTTAAATCCCAAAAAGACACAAAACCTTCCCCATACTATTTTAATAGACAAATTGTAAAAGCCGCGACTAGTTTCGACCAACGGTCATCTTCTGGCTTAAGGAAATTACAGAATAAAACTTGTTAAAATATTTTAGAAGTACACAATGCAAAATTTGAAAGGGAGCATGGGTAAAAAACGATGACAATTAAACAATAACATTAAAAAATATCTTCATTGAATGTAATCTTAGTTACATGATGTAAATTTAATTGACTTTTAAAATTAAATGAAATATCGGACGTAGGTGGAAGACACCATCGAAGCGACACAGACGAACTTCAGGAGCGGCGCCGACGAAGATGCACAACAACACGCGAGTGCACTGATTGATAGTTTCGCGAATCCGTTCGGTTGGAGATGATAATTCCACCCCCCTCTCGCGGGGGTGTATTACGTCCGGAGTGGCAGTCGCAATTACTCATAATAATGTTCCAGAACACCAAAATGAACAGCGAACCTAAAGAGTGGCCAGTGTAGTAAAAATACGGCAAAAAGAACGACTTTTTCAATGTTTTTGGACTTTCCAGGCGCCATCTTGATATTTAGGCCCCAGGCGTATGGGGCTGCTGGAGGTCCCCACATACTTAAATGTTAACTTGACCATATGAATGCATATTGGACGCCGACAACCGGTCAGAAAGAAAAAAAATGATGAATTTTTGCATTTTTGACGTTTTTAAGCGGAGTTTAGGCATTTACGCCCTTAATATGAATACGAAAGTGTGCCTAAACGGTGTCGTCGTGTGTACTAGATGTTATTCTACCCTTAAACTACCCAAAACGTTCAGTGGCTGCCTTGTGGGCTCGAAATAACAAAAAAACGGCAATTTTGGCCGCCATCTTGGATTTAAGGGCTTAAATGTCAAAATCGGGTCTGGCAACAGGGCGCATCGTTTTCACAGCGGGGGCAAATTAGTCTAGAACCGCCTGTTGCCAGTTTGTAGCACAAAACGCCGTTAGACATGATTTAGAGAGCCTTTTTCAAAAAGGTCTCCCTGACAACGGTTGTTCTCAAAATAAGCTTATGCTTATCTTGCAGATTCAGCATCATTACAATTATATAATATGCTAAAAATTTATTTTATGGGTTGTTAAACTAACAATCTTTCAACCGCAAGGTTTTCATTTAAGAATGCGTTATATACTAAACTGTATTATACACAAATAATAAACCCATTTCGATAATAAACTATATTTTAATGTTTATTATCTATTTGCTCTTGGATATATTTAAATATCTAAGATCATATTTAATACAATATCATTATTATAGTGAGAATAATTTGATTAGACATATTCATATTGTACAGTGTGTGTCAAGGTTTGTTTGATTTAATAATAGCTTCTCGTACTGATTACAATATAATTTTTACTATATGATTTTAACAATCCATTTTTCTCCGTGCATACCGAAAAACGCATTTTTTAGCGACGCTCTGGAATGGCTGGGCAGAATTGTTACCCCTTTCGCACAAATTAATATCGAGCGTTGTGCAGAAGGAGTTTTATAATTAATTTCAAAATTTCTTCGAACCTAAACCTCACGCTTGTGTTAACATTACACGCGTAAAATTGTCTACAAGCAAGTTTGTTTTCATTCACAAGGTGCACCAATAATTTTCCTTTTTAATAAAGGTACAGGTGAACAAATTAACGGTACCTGTAGTTACAACCGGATGGTATTTTGCATGCCGCGACACAATTTTGAATTTTGTAATATAGTTTTTTCACCAAAATTTCAAGTGCTAGGTAGCAATTACGTGCCCTTTTACGGTACCGAATTTTCTGTTCGACAATTTATAATAAATTGCCACTTTTTTAGGACCAGCATGTAATGAGTGTAATCTTAACCACCTTAGTTTATGAAAGTACACATGTACCCACACGAGGCGCAGTGAAACTTTGATCATCATAAATTCTGGACGGCAATTAATAATTTAAACCGAATTAATATTGAAAGCGACTTTAATCGATTATTACAAGTTTCGTTTCCCGGTCGTAAGTATTTACTTTTTACCTACGTTTTGGCGCATTTGTGACAGAACTTTGGAATTGTTTATGGTGGCGTTTTACAGTTACCTTTTAATAATAAATTGTAATTTATTAATATTAACCCGCAAATATGGCGCACTTGCGCATTTTTTAAAGTTCATTATGCAGTTTAATGAGGAAACAGGACCACGTATATGCACCTGGTAGCCTGGTGCTGGTTCCTTAAAAACACCTGCTTATTGATGATATCCATCATTGATGTCCGCTTCTTTAAAGTACATTCATTATTTGTTTGAAATTAAGGAAAAAGTCTTCTCTGCCGTATTTTATTTAATTGGCGTGAGTTTGGGTGCTTTTTTATTTAACAGCATTGCTATTCGCTTCTTATCTGACTGGAAAGAAAACTGTCGTATGTCAATATAAAAGAAAAGTTTGGTGTTATCATGCTCCTCATCCCTTAGCACCCGATACAGTATAACCACAACGTCCCTTTTGTGGCTTGTTTAATGTATCACTTTCCAAACGGCGCTCTTTCCAATGTAGTAGTATTTTACTAGCCTCGTTTCTACGAGAGAGCAGATAAATGAACCTGTAAACCTCCTAGTTCTTGCAACAAGTACGTAACGCAACAACAGCAGGTAAGTTAGTCTTCACAGATACTTCTCAAAGGAGGTAGAGGATGTGTAGATTGGAAACCGTTAAAGGAACTAATTAGTACACTAGAAAGAACTCAAAAGGCTAACGTTAAGGACCACGAGATCCAGGAGAAGTTGGAAGGTAAAGAAGTTCCAATAGTGTACCGGAGAGGTACAGCAGCTTATGGCGAAGACAATCAAGAGGGTCATATCGAGTTTAGAGAAGAGAAAGAACAGAACGAGATTGCTGAATGCCATCCCATCATCTTAAGAAGAATAGAGGAGATGGAACAACAATTCATAATGGATACTGAAAAGGAAACGGCAAAATATGTTAAAGAGTAATAGAAAAGTACAAGGCGAATTAGAATAAGGAAAATACGAAATAGACAAAGAGATATCAAGGCGATCGCAGGCAACAAAAGAAATTATGAAAAAACAAATAACAGACGAAGAAAAAAGTGGATGCAGAAACATTCGGATTAAGAAAAACAACTGAAAAATTGAAGAGGATTTGAACCCAAAATACTTAACGCCAATTCGCGAATTAAAAGTCCAGTGACACTGTTCAGGAAGAACTATCAGAGAGCTGGTGTCCACTTAATCGTCACGTACATTCGTCAATAGAAGAAAAATAATTTTAAGGGTAATTAGGAGAACCCACCGTCATCTAAGAAGAAGAGGAAGAAGACAAAATTTGAAAGAAGCATTTTAGCCAGACCCTGGTATCCAATTTGTTGTTTAAGGGATGGCATGTTATTTTTGGTTATTATTTTCATTAAAACTTTGATACTTTCGATAGAATTTTGTATTATAGATCAAGGTTTTTTTTCTTTTTACCTTACCAATGTAACAATTTATACGGTATACGGATATCTGCAGATCCCATTGGTTTCTATTTATTTTAAGAATAGTATTTGGGAAAAATATGAGTAAATAAAATTTCCCGCGTTTTAAATCAAGAAATGTTCCTCTGGGGCGCGTTGTCGAGGATTTTTTTACCTTTGTGCCACCTCGTAGAGAAATTTTGATCGTACTGCCTTTTGGAGGTATTTACGTAAACAATTTTCGTCATAGTTTCTCACCCACCGTAGTTCTAGTTTCACTTGGTTCAATTTTTTGAAAAAATTGTTATAATACAAAAAATCTCACCGATCTTCTCGTTCAATTGGTGGAATTATCCTTTGGTTTCAAAGTCATCCAATTAATCTAAACAATAGAAAACGACATTTTTTCAAAAAATCTTTAATAAGAAATACTCACCGACGTTCTTGTCCGCTTGGCTAAATTCTCTGGCTTTTTATGCCATTCCAATATTCTAAAAGCAGAAATTTAATAGCAAGTTTTTGAAAAAAACATTAATAAAAATGACTCACCGATATTCTCATCCACTTGGTAAAATTTCTCCATAATTTCATATGCGTTCCATTAATCTAAAGAGATAAAGATGCGTTATTTTACACCCAATTGACAGTTTTTTTTAAAATAATCATAAATTAAAAAATTCACCGATACTCTCGTCCACTTGACTGAATTTCTCCATTGCTTCTTATACCATTACATTACTCTAAAAAGAGAAATGTGTACTAGTAGAAACCAATCAGCCACCCCCTCCACGTTTTCCTGGCGTCACGCGTACTGCGCTGTGATTGGCTGTGCCATTTTGAGGGGGTAAAATTGAATTTGTTTGGGAAATTTGAATGTCTGAATTTCCGAATGTCCGCTGACTTCACTGCAAAAATGGAGAAAGTTGTCTCATGCACTGAAACAATTAATACCACGGCTAGGTCAGTAATAAAAAAACTTTTAAATTCCGTAACTGGACCTCGTCAGGAATATAAAAACGAATTCTAGCAAAAACGGTTTTTATATAAAATCCCCAAAACGGCCGACTCCAACTGTCAGTTGGATTTGTCCTTGTGAAATGACACCGCAAATTAGAAAATCGATATTGGAACTAACTTGCAACTTGCAACGCAATCCGATTTGCTTATATACTAAAGTCGTGTGTTCCCGAGCGGTCGCGAGCACATTGTAAGATAAAATACGTCATATTTCTTTCTACATCCGCCTTCGTTCTTTATCGACGATGACTAATCTTTCATGGCGCCTAAGTTTAGCCTTAAAATATGGACTTATGATAATATTTTCATTCACAATTAATTGTCGAAGTTTTCTTATTGTAATATCTATTACCATCCATGGTTATTACCATGGCTCCGTACCATGGTAGCAATTATTCAAAAAATACTGCCCCCTTCATATCCTTATTATGGCACTAAAATTCCATAATAATATTTAAAACCATTTTCGAAATATTACTTTGTAACACTTTAAAAACACACAAAACTCGCAAATTATTAATTACATCACCTTTCTGAGATTTAAATAGGTTCTCTTTTCCTGCTGATATTCCTGTAGGTTTGTTATGACTTTGTGGAAGATGTGACCCATTTTACAAGCTGTTTAATTGTGCGTCTCAAATCCATCTGTTCCAAAAAATCCATCTGTTTCAACTTATTAACAACGAAAAGAATATTATACAAAAATAATACAGAGTGGCCCAACGAGAAGTATACAGAGGGCTTTTAGGGTATTAAATTTAGAAATTTCGAAAAATCCTCGATTTTGTATTCGAGGGGGACAACTTTTGGAATACAAATCACGAACCCACGTCTTCACCCCTCTACGTAGGGAGCTTAACCCCTAAAATTTTAAATGGAATCCTATGGCAAATGGCACATGTTTTGAAAGCCAATTTAATCGTAATTACTAATCTGCTTTCCTTTATAAATTCTATTGATTCGTTTCGGAGATATTCGCATTTGAAATGGTTTTTTCTAAAAAAACCAAAACAAATGCGATCTAAGTTACCTTGTATTAAAATAAATTTTAATACAAGGTTTAAATTGTGCAAAAATAACAAATAACTTTAAACACACAGCTCGAATTGCCTTCCGCCTGCTTCCATGCAATAACAAAGATTTGCTTCAAAACGCTGCCGTACATGTTGGAAGATTTTAGGGGTAATCGCTCGAAATTGTTGAGTTATACCATAGTGTATTCTATTCTTACACTATGGTTATACGTGCTCGCAACCCTTGTAATGTTCCGGGCCGAGTAGCATAAACTTTATTCTTTAAATATCCCCACAAGAAGTAATCTAACGGACTTAAATCAGGGGAAAAAAACATTTCAAATGCGAATATCTCCGAAACGAATCAATAGAATTTAAAAAGCAAAGCAGATTAGTAATCACGATTAAATTGACTTTCAAATAATGTGCCATTTGCCATAGGATTCCATTTAAAATTTTAGGGGTTAAGCTCCCTACGTAGAGGGGTGAAGACTTGGGTTCGTGATTTGTATTCCAAAAGTTGTCCCCCTCGAATACAAAATTGACGTGTTCGAGGATTTTTCGAAATTTCTAAATTTAATACCCTAAAAGCCCTCTGTATACTTCTCGTTGGGCCACTCTGTATAATGAAAAAAAAAGAAACTCGAAGAAGAGAAACTTGAAAGAAAAAGAAAGAGGGAAGAAAATATCACTCTTCAGAAATTATAAAGAAAAGAAAAGAAAAAACTCCGATTCAAATAACTGTGTTAGAAATGATCATTTACAAGACAATAAAAACGTAGAAAACCTAAAGATTTATGAGTACGTACTAGTCAATTATAACAAATTGATGAATATGAAGCTCTGTAAGTGCTATGTGCCCAGGAAAAGCTGTGGAAATGGCGAAATCCACCGGACTAGCTCTGGTACTAAATTACAGGGAATGTTATAGCAATAATTAACACTCCAAGAACTCGGGGTAATCGAGGGTTAATATGTGGTACCTGCAATACATGAATATTACAAATGATATAATTACATAAACATAATTTATGTATGCCTCCATATCAGTCTGTCAGTATTGAGTATAAAAAAAGAGAACATGGCTGAAGTATTTTTTATTATAGCGTCAAAGTTAATGCATGAAACGTAAGATGGTATTGAACAGATATTGATTATGTTGGAATTCCTCAATTCATAAAAAAACACAGCAATATAACATAGTCAATAAAATTAAAAATTATGGTCACATGTTAAAAATTTATAGGTTAGCATTACCGTTTTATGCATTAACTAATTAACGCTAAGGCTGATGATGGGGGGGTAATCCCCGAAATAGATAGCCAAAGAAAAATATAAAAAATACTTCAGCCTTGTTCTCTTTTTTTATACTCAATAATTACATAAAGTTATATAAAGAACCTGCAACAGCATTTTAATTTTTATACTTACCTACCCAGGTATCTAAATTTATTACTGGGACAACAAAAGTATACTAGTGGCTCAAGGGATGTCAGCCCTACCGGTAACTACATTTCATCTTTTATCATTTAATTTTTTTAAGTTAAAATAAATTATAACGAGGTGTTAACCTCGTACGATTACGGTACCTGCGCAGCAGTGAAAAGGTGTAAACAATGAAACCTTCTGTAGGATTTAAATCCGATTTGGATTTTCATCATACTAGCCTAATGGTCTACTTTTGGAAAAATGTTGGTGAAACTTTAAAAATCAGTGCTTGTATTGGGGGTTGCTCTGAAATCGGAATAGATGTAAAATGTGTTCAAAATGGCAGCAGTATCGAAAATGACGGACGTAGTTCGTAACTTTGTAATTTTAAATAGTAACCCCTAATCGGTCGGCTAAGTTGGTTCTTTTGATACCAATATGTCAGTACCCACCATTTAAAATTTTCCCGGCTACTTTAGGTAACAATTCACCATTTTAAAACTGTGTACCTACGATGGTCGAGTTTTCACCAGGAGAAAGATCCTGTTTTTCGTTCGGTATTTATAAGAAGCATTTAAGATGCATGTGACATTCAAGGATTCGAATTTAAATGAGTATGATAGCTCAGAAATAGAATGCCCCCTTTTCCTTCCACAAGTTCGGCATGCAATGAAACTGCAAACGTTAAGTGCAATACTCAACACCATCAAAGAGGCTAAAAGCTCATGGTGGAACTTGAGACCTCTGTTACACATTCACTTTAAACTCTTCTGGGGGTGAAGTTTACGTAGTGATTTTTGGTGAATGAATTTGCATTCAAGTGCAAAGTGAGATATAGCCTACATTTTTTTATCAGATACTCTTACAGTTAGCTAAGTCGAGGTGTAGAGTATTGTGTCAAGAGGTTGGTAGTTGCCGTTAGCCCCTATAAATCACAGAAATTAAACCGATTCAAACACTTTCGTTATTCTATCAAATATCAATAAAACACCCGAAAAATTTCAGATTAAAACGGCCAAGGAGTTTCTGAAAAATGAAATAACTGATACACTAATCATTAACAGCAACCATCGTTTGCTATTCGCTTTTAGAAGGAAGACATTCTTCTCAGTACGTCGACCTTGCAAAATTTTCGCAGAGAAACGCCCACCCAATATAATGCATAATGATATGATAAAAAAAGTTTTTTGTAAATTGCGAAACACTTTAAAAACCATTAACGAATGATTGGGGAATTAATTTTATTTACTTAGGTTAATTTATTTAAAACAAAACTTTAATTATAATGAAAGCAAGTCGCTTTCAGCTTTGCACTCTGATAAAAATTAGTACCGTGTTTTCAACGACCTATTATTTTTGAATAAGTGCAAACTTCTTGATGTGTTAACTAAGCGTAGGAAAAAATTCCTTTGGTAATTGGAGAACGTCTATAAATATTTTCAAAAATTTTAACGTCGCCTGGAAAGACACAAGAAGTATTTAGAAAGTTAAACATTTTTATTAACGTGATTAACAAGGCCACGTACTAGCCACCTTAATTTATCAACTCTATAAATTAGTGGTTGGGAATAAAAATTTCTTTGGAAACGTGACAAAACTGATAAACTAATTTATCTAATAAATTAGCTGCAGCGCCTCTTACTTTCTTTTTAAAGTACAGAGACGCTTAAAAATTGCCAATGACTAGATCAGAAACGTATGGGATAAAGTTTGGTAGGTACCCCGTCATCTTTCTACATATTTATGCCATTAATTACATCAACCTCTTTTGAAAGCGTTGCTCAAGCAGTAATAACTGCAAACTCAGCATCTTATCTACATTTTAATGCATTTAATTTTTAATTAATTCTAAACGGCCTGCACGCATAAGAATCGCAAAGAAAAAACGTCAGGTAAGGTCCTTTATGTATAATTTAGGGCACCTAATCCCAAATAAGTTTATTTGCATTTAAATAGCGAACCGCGTACTACCAACGTACAATGCCTAATCTAGGATTCGTTGGCATAAAGGCGACAATAAATAATGGTTGTGCGAGGGTTGCACCACAATTATCCATTAAGAACGATAGTCAAGTTTCTGAAACGGAAAGTAATGCAGGGCAAATCCAGATAATTTGAGATACTTCAGACTTTTTTGCGATCACCTAATGAAGGGATGATTCTTGTACGTATGTTTTATAACGCGCCGTTCCCCCATACATTCGTGGCGCGTCGTTTAGGGGTAGGTCCAAGGTCAGAGAGACCATCCCTTGCAATAAAAGCAGGTAAAACTGGATCACCTTTTTTAATGTATAAGTAACTAACCTACCTGTATTTCGTATGCAAACGCATGTAAGTGAAATTAGGCCTTCGCTCGTTGAATAAATCATATACTGTTATAATATGTGTATGAAACTTGACATTAAAAGGGGTCTTGATATTTGTGGAATTGTAAATTTGTAATATTATGCTAAGGAGGATCGTATTCATCTTTACGATTGGATGCGAAGGGTTTCGGCCGTCAAACCATTGTTATACACGTATACTCGTATAATTTTATGCGAAGGATGGGTGGTGATTATTTCCACTATTCTCTTTAGCTCGATATCTTCTGAAGGATTTACTTGTACCAATGATTACAAATTTGTCACAAAAAGCGATTAGAAATCAAAGTAGTAAACAAAGCACCGTTTTCGAGAAAAATTACTGTGGCAAGTTTCACCTATTCGCTGATTACGAATCGGTTGTCGTTTAGGCACATTTGTTAAAGAACAAGGAAGTGCTACTCCAATCGGATCGTTGGTGGCGCACTTAAGAAACCAAAGGGGGGACGAAGTCGCCCACGTTCAATCTTCTAGCCTCTGCAGTAATTTCCTTACTACGAGAATGGGCTTCAAAGTTTCAACTGTATCACCTCAAAAACGTTCCAGTTTTCAATTTTTCCTGGGGGGGATTCTTTTTAGTGTATGGGCGCACCATTTGTAACCTAAAGAAAAACACCGTGTTCAGAAATATCTGTAAGATACGTTAATTTTTTTGAATTTGCAACGGATCCTACATTTTAAAGAAAGAAAGAAAAACTTTCGACGTGATCTGAATACCTGATCACAAACCCTCGGACCGGACGTACGGATAGGGCGATAGAATATTTCTTATAAAAAATACGATCTAAGCGCGTGATGATTCTGTTCTATTATAACCATACTTTCTTTTTTATTTATTTATTTGTGAATCAATGATTCTGTCAACAAGCATTACCTGCACGTTGTTTGCGCAGATTCTGTGCTGCCACTTCACGGAGCTAAAAAATAAGGTTATAATGGAGTGATGGGGGGGGGGGGGAGGAGTATTGCTTAATGGTGCTATTTTTACCAGTAAATGCAATTTGTATGAGAAAGTGGGAAAATGAAATTGATATACCAACAACTTAGTATCCTTCAGATTCAGACCATCAACCCTAAAACACTCTTAGTCCTTAACTATGTATTGTTGGTCGAAAATCGAAATCTAGGGTACCTAAATATTAAGCCGTTAAAACTTGTACTTGTTTCTTCTTTTTCACAGTTAACTTCCTTTATTTCGATATAGGTTTCATACTCCATTTTTGTTCCTTCACTCTTTAAAGCTATGACCACTGTCTGAAAGAACGTTGGTATTTGTTTTGCTGATTTTCTTATCAAGTGAAAAGAAAAGGTAAAGCTATTAGTTAAACTGGACACTAATCCTTTCGGTGTCACAGGAGTAGCTACACTTGCAAAAATTTCATTTACAATCAAATAATTACACCTTAAAGAGCAAGTATAGTTCAACATGTCACATTTTATCACGTTACTTTCAAGAATTTGAAATGTGCTCAGTGCAATTACGCAACCAACAAGAAGGATAATTTACGAAATCGTAGTCTAACGCATGATATTTCCAAAGCTTTTAATTGTGAACAGTGCAATTTCACAACCAACAATAAGGATAAATTAATGAATCATCGTCTAACTCTAACGCATAGCATTTTCAAAGTCTTTAATTGTGAACAGTGCAATTACATAACAAGAAATAGGAGGTGTATACGTCATTCTTTGACACACTCCGCTTTGAATAACTTTCTATCAGTGCCATCAGTGTAATTATACTACAATTAGGCGTTCGCTTAAAGTTTCACCTGTTAACACATACAACCTTCTCAAACATTTAATTTGTGAACAGTGTAATTGCGGTACTCACGATAAGTAAAACTTAAGGCGGCATATTCACGTTGAAGGATGTTAAGTGCACTCTGTGGAATTAGGTATGCCACATATAGAAAGAAAAATTTAAACCGTCATTTATTAAAGCACGACACATGCAAAAATGTCTATTGTTTAAATTGTGGTCAGTGTAATTGTGCCACGAATAATAAGGCTGTTTTAAAGCATAATCAACGTAAGGGAAAGTCGGCGAGATCTTTTGTAAGTTGTGCGAGTGCGCTAGAAATTAAATGATAAATTGTGATCTTTATATGTAATTAGAAACTTAAACTTAATTGCGTGTTAAGCTAATTTAAAAAATCTTGGGAATAATCTTATTTATTAATATATTTTAGGCACAAATGTTTCTAGTACCTAAAGACAAACATATCGCATATTGTAATAATCAGATGTACGGATGCGTAAACTGGGCAATGCCAACTTTCTAATTTATTACCGTTTGGCACACTTTTAAATATAGTCAATGGTTTATGAAAGTTATGCCAAAAAAAGTTACCAATTGGATCTTAAAATAAATACGATTTAGCCATAAAAATGCTCTAACTTAGTACCTTTGTACACATAAATGATACCATTCTGTAGGGACGTACTGATCAATGCATGGAAGATGCGACCATTAATGTTGTTATATGTACAGGGTGACACTTTTAAAACTTTCAATGGGCGATATCGTTTTTTATATTAGAGGTATCACAAAATGGCCAAAACCGTTTCGGTAGAATCGAGGGGGAAGCAAAATGGTCGTATAAAGAAGGAACCAACTTCAACCTCGTACCCCCCGCCACCCCCATGCCTAAATTTGGAATTGTGACGTATCACTTGTGATACATCATTGGAAAGCTCTTAAAAAATGCTTTTCAGAAATAAGTACCAACACTGGTGCATTTAAACTGACTATTCACAATTTATGTAATAAAAATGAGTAATTTGAGTATTTGATGAATTTGTCAGTGTTTGAAATTAAAAAAAATTTCTTAGATCTAGTGATGCTTTGGAAAAACAATGACAGCAATTTTTAGTAAATAATAATTTTCTATTGCTTTATTTGTTGATCGGTTATTATTATTTTAGTCTCGTTTTTAGTATTTCTTGGCAAGAAAATTACAAATTTTGAATTTAACTAAAGATTTCATAATGGTGTACACGTTAGCCGAAAGAGTTGAAATTATTTTCATCTATGGTTCTGAAGCGCGATCTGCATTTAGAACAGCAGCTGTTTTTAATGCCCGACACCCAGAACGACGTGTCAGTCACACTTATGTTGCAATGTTAGTGACTAAATTTGAAGAAACTGGGTCAGTGGAAAATAAGAAAAGAGACGGACCAAGAATAATGGATGAAGCTACTCAGATTGAAGTTTTAGGTCATTTTGGTGCAAACCCAACATCATCTATTCGAAAAGCAGCGACTATGACCGGACTTTCGCGAGAAACTGTACGACGAACTCTTAAGGTGCACAAATTCTACCCTTATAAGATGCAGATTGTACAGGAACTAACCGAAGACGACTCCGTTCGAAGAATCCAATTTTGTGAAATAATGACCGAGAATATTCAAAACAATCCGGAACTGGTGAAAAACATTTGTTTTAGTGATGAATGTACATTCTTTTTAAATGGAAATGTGAACAAACATAACTGCCGGTATTGGGACGATAAAAATCCTCATCTTTTTCGCGAGGGGCATACTCAACGGCCCCAAAAAATTAACGTCTGGGCAGGTATCTTAGGTGATAACATTATTGGTCCTCTGTTTATCGAAGGAAATTTAACTGGAGATACTTATCTAAACATGCTACAAAATACCGTCGAGCCTCTCATCACTCATGAAATAGAGAATCAAATAAATCCAATTGACGGAAACATGAATTTGATTGAAGATTTCATACATTTTCAACAAGATGGGGCTCCTCCTCATTACTCTATGGCTGTTCGTGAATTTTTAGATGAGAAATTTCCGGGACAGTGGATAGGACGAAGAGGTCCTATAGAATGGCCAGCACGATCTCCAGATCTGACACCATTGGATTTCTTTCTTTGGGGTCATTTAAAATCGGTTGTGTACAAAACTGAATCAGCTTCCATAAATGATCTTCGCTACCGGATAGTCAGGGAGTGCCTTTCACTTTCCAGGGAAGTGTATAAAAATGTTAGAAATGAATTTGAAAACCGTTTGTGGTATTGTTTAGAACAAAACGGTGAACATTTTATTAAATAAAAGTTGTTTATTTGCGGAGTTCAAATTTTAGTGTAATAAATTGTGAATGGGCAGTTTAAATGTACCAGTGTATGGTATTTCTGAAAAGCATTTTTTAAGAGCTTTCCAATGATGTATCACAAGTGATACGTCACAATTCAAAATTTAGGCATGGGGTGGCGGGGGGTACGAGGTTGAAGTTGGTTCCTTCTTTATACGACCATTTTGCTTCCCCCTCGATTCTACCGAAACGGTTTTGGCCATTTTGTGATACCTCTAATATAAAAAACGATATCGCCCATTGAAAGTTTTAAAAGTGTCACCCTGTATAGATATATTTTATTGTTACTATATTTAATTTTTTTTTGCATGTTTATAAATGTTTATAAGATGTTATAGTTGAAAGTATGTCCAGGAAATATGGCAAGTTTTTAGTCAGGATTGAAAACCGGCTTTGCCGAATCTTGTCCTTTTGATTACTTAATAATCAATAAATGTTATTATTATTATTATAAAGTTATTCGCCTTAGGGCAAAAACCTTTTTACTTGTTTTAACGTCACCGGCACGTAGGCCAGCGCATCATGTGACTGTCAGCCTCAGGCGGCCCCAATACTACTTCTGGTTCTATGTCTCTAAGTGCAGGCTTCTTTAGGAGAAACAACCGCCAGTGGATCCTGAGATTAGAATTATTAGAAATTAGAAAATATGGTAAACAACGTTTATGATTACCAGTTTGCGCCAAAATGTTACAATGAAAAAGTAGTAAAAGTAATTAAGATTTATGTCACAGTTACTAAAAAACTGCCTGTCGTTGTATTCGGCGTGTATTCGCCCATTATCTCTTTGCGCCCGGATTCATCCTCGGCGCAGAAAAATGGACAACCCGAGCAACTTACCCCCATAAACTTGTCCGAAGAGAGGCTTTCGGCCATATAGTCTATACTGATCAAATGACTGCATAACACTAAAAACCAGCGTAAATAACATTTTAATAACCATAGTCCACTTACGGTCGTTCAGAATAGTTTCTAGTATTTTCATAAAGTCGAGCATCATGCAATTTAACTGCAATGTGCCGCAATTAACGAAGAAATCCACGTGCCCACACTGAGTCAGATACCCACTCATACCTCCGTTAGTGTGAATTATCTGAACGAACTTTGCATCGGTTGGATCCAAACGGTCTTGAATCGGTGCGCCAAAAAATACCGATCCGGTTGGATCCAATCCTGTTATCCTTCCGACGGGTTTTTGGCAGATTTCTAACGTATCCTGTCCTATGAACCCTGACATTTGCGCGCCCAACGAGTGCCCAACTAAGTGGACGGTCTCAATTGGAACGTTATACTTTGAGTCTAGTAAGCACACCAGCCTCGCCACTTGACTTGCAATCATAGGAAGGGAGCAGACTGCGTGAACCGTAAAGGCCGTTTTGCTCCAGTCGACCATGATTACGTTATAACCGCCTTTATTTAGGTATGCGTTGCGAAGCTTTGGCAAGCCCACTGCGTTTGGAGTTGATACAAAACCGTGTATAATGATAACTGTCGATTTTAAACTGGTAGGTACTTCAACTGGATCTAACGGATTTAATACGATCGGTTCTCGTACGTTGTTCCTTGTATAAAGCAAAAACTCCACCCCCTCAACGTCGGGTGGATCGCAATGAGACATTATACTCTGTCTGATGCTGAACATTCCTACTATTTGATCCCTTATTCCATCAGGGAGCTCTCCCACCGTCATGTTTGAGAAGACGTCGTCTAAAAATATAAACACTAAAAAATGCTACATGCTAAATATGATGTTACCAGATTTCGCGTGGAACAAAGGTAAGTACATTAGAAAAAGGGTGACTGCCGATCGACGCATCGTGCCGTACTAGAGATACCCAAATGAACAGGTAATTATTGTCGTGGTCAGACGTAAACTCAGTAATGAAGCGTTGCAAATAATAGGGAAACTTTAACCTTCGCGTTCATTAAAGTTTTTTGTTTAAATACGGCATGAAATGTCCGGTTTAATATTTGCAGTTTTTAGATGGTATTATGAAACTAGTGATATCAGGCACTTCATACATACGTTTAATCGCAGATTCGATGCACCTTTTTTTACCTTTTGCAAAGATAAAAACTCAGTTTGTGTGTTATAAAACTATTCTTGGGTGAAAGAAAAACCACTTGCGCAAAAACACCACTTCATCCTAAAAAAGATGGTCAAAGATATACATTTGATTGTTACGTCAAACTCGACCTCTAAATCAACCATCCATAAACATTTGGACAAACTATACAAGTGCTAGAGCTCTGGTCCAAGTAGGAATTTACCAAGTTGTTAGTATTATGCAGATCGCAAATGTACTGCAACAGTTACACCTTGAACATTGTAGTTTAAAGCATACGTCATGGTATATCATGTGTTTATAATTGCAGAGAAGAAAATTTCAAATTCAACAGTTTTACATATTTTTCTCTTTATTTTGAAAACGTACTTGAAGGTGACTATTTAATAGAAAAAAATCGATTTATAATGCAAAGCATATGCACCTTGTGGAGATAGGTTTGACGTACCTATACAAAAAATAATAATAATAAAAGTATTCTAAAAGACACAAGCAACCATATATCGAAAAGCCAATTGACCGTATTTATAAGGAAAAAGATTTCCTTTTACTTCCAAAAACTGAAGGATTTTCTTCAGAAAATGTGCATCTAGTGCGAACAAGGTTTTATAGATTTACTTTATTCGTATACAGGTGTCTAGTTTTCGCGATTTTTAGCGCATTTTTGGAAATTTATTTGTAAAAAGATAGCTTTTTATCTCAATTTGGCTGGTTGGCTGCCTGCCTGGCGGCAAATGAGGCCGGGCGTAAAAGAACGCTTGCAGAAAGACGATGAGTGTACGTATTTATGTATACTTACAGGGGTGTACACAACTTTAGGGACGGGGCTACATGATGTGGGGTCGAGTAACATCTGCGCGCCGTCCCCGAGCGTGATTTACGAACGTGATGAGTTTGCAGCTTTGTACTATCTTCTTTTACAGTTTTGGTCCGATTTCCTTCAAACTGGTGTCGTAGGAAAGATCTCGTAAACGCGCACAACTCCTGCGTGACGGAATTTTTTTTTTTCCTAGGGGCGAAATTACCCAACTTTTGAAAGACGCGCATCTTCGATGGGTAGTCGACTGCGGGCGTCCAAAAGTTACCTTCTGCTTCGAATTTTGTCACGCGGTTGAAGGAATCGCGGTTTCTGTTTCTCTTGTCGCCAATAGAAGCTCGATTTATAGAAGTGCCAAAAAACTGAGTACTATTTTGTGGAGTTTTTTTGCGAAATCCACCAAAATGACTGTAGGGAAGTCAGAAGTGGGTACCGCAAAAGGAAATGTGGTAGCCTTCGACAAGATTTTATTGATAGTCGAGTCGAAACTGGCTATAATACTGATCTGCCATACGAAAATGCGCTTGATTTCTCGAGAGGTATTTGATAAAATTAGCATTTGAAATGCTTATGTTTTGTGTATGAGTATGCAGTTACCAGTTTCGTCAAGCAGAAGAGAAGACAGTGGTGTCGCGTCAAGTGTTGATTGTACCGTACTCCGCCACTATCTTAATAGTGCACAATTATTTTTCTGTTAATTCCAATCTAAAATTCTCGCACATCTCCTTTAATAGGATTACGAGCATGTTGTGGTGAAGCTTATTATTCAGAAAGTGTACGTGATTCCGGGTGAATAAGGCTTATTTGTGTTTTAAATATGGCCAGGCGCGAACGAGGGCGCGAATTTAAAGGGATGAGGCGCTCGCCCCCTCCTAGACAGTGGTAGTTAGGCAGTAGGTCGCCTAGTGACTATTGGATAACTGACCTAAAAAAATGTTTTAGTGAAAAAAATGATCAAATTTAAACTTAAATGTATTAATACCTATTTCTCTCGCAGAGCCAAGTACCACTTTTCGTACACTCCCAGGTCAGACCACTTCCAGCTCGACTTATAGTGATACTGATGATAATGCAAGCAATGAACTGTCAAATAAAAATAGGCCGATTTCTCAAACTGAAGCAGTAGTAACTTTTTTACGGACTTGGTCTTTAGAATGTGATGTTAATCATGTACAATTATCTAAGTTAGCCAAAGGGTTAAATGCATTGTTTCCAAATTTAGGACTACCTTGCGATTCTCGAACTATTTTACAAACAAAACGGGTTTGTAATGTAAAACAATTTATAAATTTTGATAGTGGCTTGATCTCGGGTGAATTAATTAAATGTTCTTTAGAGAAACATGTATTAAATGAAAGATGAAATTATTAGATTAAGTGGTTTCCAACAATACCAATTGCAAAAAGCTCTAACAAACAATTCTGGCCCTATTTTGTGTACAGTTTATTTAAGAAATTACAGGGTTCGGCCATTTCCAGTAGCAATTTACTTAGGAACTTCAAAACCAGAGTCTCGGGATCTATATTTAAAGGAGTTCATATTAGAATTAAATAATTTAATTACATGTGGCATCCAGTACCTTAATGAAGTTATACCTGTGTCAGTTATACCTATGTTTAACTTGCGATGCTCCAGCGAGGGCATTTTTAAAAATAATATAAAAGGCCACAATTAATTTTATGGTTGTGAGAGATGTGTGGAAAAGGGACTTATTTCAATAGGCGTGAACATAATTGTTGGCTCTAAAAGAACGCACAATTCTTTTCTTTTAAAAATTTTGATAATCCCAACCACCATAAATGTGACACTGCGACGCCTGTTTTAAGTATAAATATTTTGAATGTTATTAAACCATTTTCTTAGATTATTTACATCTTTGTTGTTGGGAATAATGAGTAAGTTATTCCATTATTGGTGTAAAAAGGATAGTTTAGGTAATAGAAAAGTTTTACTTCCATTAAGATTAGACAATTATTATCAAAAAGAAATGGTTTATCATGCGAAGTTTGTACCAATTGAATTTTCCAGAAACAAGAAGTATAACAGAATTGGAGAATTCAAAGCTACAGAGTTTTAGGTTTTTCCTACTCTATCTTGGCCCAGTAGTACTAAAAAGGCATACTTCCTGATGATTTATATAATCATTTTCTATTGTTCATGTTGCGATAAGAATACTTTGTAGCCGCAAATTGTTTTCTTATCAATATTTGTTTGATAAGTGCCAGGGATGTTACTGGAAATTTGTGACAATGTGTGAAGATTTGTATGGAAAGGAGTCATGTATTTACAATGTTCATTCCCTAAAATACATTTAGTAGACGATGTTAAACAAACACATTTAACATTGAAGAGCTTAGTTGCTTCACTTTTGACAACTATTTAGGTATTTAGTTTCACAATTACGAAGGTTTAATAGCTTTTTAAACGATTATCTGAAAGAGAAGAAAGTGCTATAGATTTGAGAAAAATCCGATTTTTGCAATTTCTAGTTCAAATTCAAAAATTTTTCTCTTTTGCCAATTTTAGACTAAGTGTGGACTGTGGAGGTACTAAGGACTGTTATGTTTTTGCTGAAACATGATCGAATATTTAGGATTATCTCGGCTAATAATAATTATATAACTAACGGGAATATGAATCTGATGTACTATGCGATCAAAAAATGAGTTGCTCCTTTGGAATTTTTGTTTACATGTCAAATCGTACTTAACTTGAACTTCCAAAGGGGACTAGACAGCAACTCATTTTTGATCGCCCGTTATTATCAGATTTGTACCAACATCCTATCCAGAGATCTGGGTATCTATCAATTTTCAAAATACTCAGAAAAACTCACACATTATAATTTCTTATGTATAGGTTCAAAAGTTGTGGCCTTTAAAAGAACTGGAAAGTATGTAGCAATAAAATTGTTACATGTTGGTGAATGCTGAATTTGCTGTTACATATTATTTACTTCTGGCAGCGACATGTGGGACATAGTTTTTTGGCAAGACCAAACAGTTAGTTACGTCCCTTCCTGCTGGAGCAATGAAGATCACTTCTCAGTAAACTTCCACTCAGGAATGAAGATGATGTAAATAAATTTGATGGCGAGCTGGTAGACCCAGGAATATTTAAACAATTGTGAGCACCATTTAGTCTTTAAAAAATAGTAAACATAGTTTTTTAGGTCCAGATTCTCTATTTGGTAGGAGGCGACACAGTCCAAAAAATAGTCTACTATCAAATGGAAAAAATGATGACAAATGAAATTGCCATGAAGTATTCAGGACAAGGGAAGAAACATAAACTCCCATTCAATAAATTAAAATTGTATGGTGCAGTAGTGGGTAAGCAGCGATTAGATAATTTTTTTAAATTTATATATTTATTTTAGCTGCAACAGGCAAGCGGAAACGTGATGCGTCTGAACTGCAAATTAAGAAAATGATCGGTTTATTTTTAGCTACTGCAAAATCTCGTGTGAAGAAGACAACGGGGGAAGATGAAGGTGGCTCTCTTGAAGAAAATATGCCACAGTAATATATTCTCATATTCTCTAATAAACATGAAATGTACCTATGTTTCTGTTTATATGTGAGAAATATTCCCTTAAGATTAAATAAGTAAATATTTGCATAAATATTTACATAATATAAAAAAGCCTCACTTTTTAATATCTTTTAAATATTGTTTTTAAATATTACATAAATATTTGTGTGCTACTAGGGAACGTTAATAGTAAATGAGTAGGGATAACTCGTCGTTAGCACAACTGTCTCTCAGATAAGGAGGTCTATAATGGAGATTTCGAAGATGGTTAAATTAGAGACAAGAAAATTGCCGATTTCCTTTTTATGTTTTTTTGGTGTTATTTGAACAGACACAAAAAAACATTTTCTCACTTATTGGGTTTTACGTGACACCGGCGAGACGTTTGATTTCGGAGAAATCATTATCAATTTTACACTTTTATATAGCCCGCAAAAAAAGTAGGTACTATATTGAGTAGAATTTTTTATTACCAATAAAACGGTGTACGGCACATAAAAGAAAAAAAAACAGTAGGAAACTGTTTCAACAGGTTTCAACAAGATGGTATACTCACGTACAATGCCCTAATCGTGCAAGAATATTATAAGTATAAATGTTTATTTTTAATATATTCACTTTAAAAATTGTATGCGCCCCTCCCTAGACCAAATCATAAATCATTTCCAATATTTTCGATGGTTGCATGGATTGCGAAATCTGTAAATTTTGTAAAATCCTAACTGTTCATTGTGGATATGGTGCACCATGCACGTACTCGCCCGAAAAGTGTACAAGGAAAGACGTACTCCACATGAGAGCGATTTCCGAACCCTATTTCGATTTGTTGATTATTTCAGTGGCAGGAATCTGGAAACTACGATGTTCTCAAGCTACAGTCTCCAGAACT